CTACTAGGAGCAAGGACGCTACTAGGGGCTCCTGGCATCGCTACTAGTAACAAGATTGGCCCAATAGAAATCACACGGATCACGATCGAAAGGATGGACCAAGGCCCAAGACGACTCGTTCGGAGGCTGAAGCTCCCACCCAAACTGCCCGGTTCGGCGCATTTGCGGAGACCTGTGATGCTAGGTATTGGGCTGTCGAGAGTCTGACCGGGATAGCAAGATCATTTCAGCAGAGTCGAGCATTCCATTCGGCACTTCTCAACAACGAAGCCGTTCTTCAGAGCAAAGCCCAAGGACAGGTGACAGCTTCACTCCACACTCAGTTGCAAGGTGGGATGGGCTGATAAAGGTTTCACGCAACAGCCCCCATCAATTATTGTCGGTCACCTGCGAGGCTGTCAATCTTTTTTCTTTACTGTGAAGTCGAATCACCATGGTCCTGCAGGCTTTTGGCCTACGATCTGAATGCTGTCTCCTGCCAAATCCAGGAACTCTGGCACCAGGCGAGATGAAGTGAGCTTTCAGGTTCATTCACAACCAACATAATTGAAAGCGTTGCATTTCGAGGATCAACGGATATCAACGGTGACCGAGATTTCAAGGATCAAGCACCCAATTTTCTGCACAATGAGCTCCAAGCCCGCAGGCTCTCAATGTGCTTTCGTTTGGCTATCGAGAAATTGCCTCGATGCTGAGAACACAGTGGGAGGAAAGAATTATCGACCAGCCGCTTGCGAGCAAAGCGCATGGAGCAGGACAAGCAAAGCAGATGTCTTTATCTATTTATGGTGCGTGAAGTGAGTCATGTTTGATCATATTCAGGCTTTACCCGAATGCTTAAGGTGGTCCTTGACCATTGTTCGAGAAAAGATGAGTTCCAATTTGGCGGAGCCAGAAAATAAATCCATAGGCCTGCCTAAGCTTGTCGTCTTTAAAGAGCATATTTGTATTTCCTTTGTGACTCCTTAAATGCTCTGCAAAGATACCTTGTAAGACAAAAACATATATGGCAGGTGATGCGCACAATGCAGCAGCTGCTTCTCGCATGCAAAAGTTGATGCATGAGAAACCTACGTGATCACTGCGTGCTCCAGTAACAAGCCATGTATGAACAAACCACCATGCAAGCTCGATGAAGGCAGTTCTTGAAAGAGCAAGATTGCGGAAAGAATGGGAACTCAAAGGTCACTATTGAAATATCATGAACAAGCTTTCACCAAATATCTTAATTACTCTTTTTCAGCTCAGGACACCCTTCGGAAGACTGTGAAGCCCCGGTCACCGGAGTTGGCATCCATTGAGGCGCCGGGCTCGAAAGAGCATCGACGAACAAGAGATACGATTCAGCAAGATGTAATTCGTCTGTAAGATAGAAGACAGAGCTGTTGCGAGGACACAACGTTGTTACCATCCATCGAACAGCGTCCTGTGCTGTTCGACCAGCGATGCATTGGAGCTGGCACGGACAGCACACAAACAAAGGGGAAAATTTGGAAGACAAACTTTCAAACAAAGTAATTGTAAGAAACTATTTAAATTCATGAGTCTTCATGAGTTCATTTTGGCAATGAGGACATCTCGGGGCTCAAAGGAGCTCCACATCCCAGCCTGTGGGAGCCAAGAGTCCCGTCTGTTTTGGGCTGAGGCTTATCCATTGCATTGCCAGTTTTCTGATTCATGTAATTGCCAAGGCTCCCAAGCAATACCGTGGAGTTCATTTGTTTGTGCTATGTCATGGCTTCCAAGGGAGCTCTTGGCTGCAATTTGCAGCAGACGGCAGGTGCGGGAGAGTATGTTTGTATCATTTTTCATGAGTTCCCAGGAACTCCTTTGACATGCGGCTGATGAAGAACAACATAGCGCTGCTTTATCCGGATGCTATATTTCTGTGCTCCCAATCCAACGAGGACTGTTGATGGTCTTTCAGAATTTGTTTTCTCCCAGTTCTTCCCATGTGTCACTCTGCAGGACAATACAGAGGGTGACTTTCAGGAAATGGGCATCCGGTTGGCGCAGGAGGCTCCGGAAAATGAGCTGTAGAACCCTGCTTAGCATGGTACTCTTATGCCTTTGCCACTTCTTTTGATTCTTGGATCTCTTGATGAAAATGCCATCAGATAGCTCTTGAGGTCTTTTTTTGCATCTGCCAGGTTCCCTCATTCATCCACATGATCACTGCTTTTTGCACACTCTTGGCTGATGCCGTTGAAATCCGGACTGTTGGGGTTCACGTTCAAATGTCCTCGAGGTGCCCCCACTTTCAAGGTGCCCAATGTTCACCACGTTAACCGATGGATTTCTGCATGGGCTATGAGGGAAAGTGTTGACTCTCCAGTAAAGATCACACACCTGGATCGACTTTTCCGTCTTTCATCGTTTTCCTGTCATGTCGCCTATCAGACCGGTCTGAGCTCTGGAGGTTGGGAACTTCATTTGCGACTGGTGCCCAGGCTCTGCACTTGGGCGGCTGAGCTTTATTGCTCATTCCATTGGCTCCTTGCCAGAAATTTGTCGATTCTGTAGCCGGTAGTGAAAAAGCAGGGTGAAGTCCATTCCATGAGGGGGAAAAAGCCTCAGGTTTATTATACTTTTTAACATAGAAGAATGGAAAGGAAAGGCAAGAAGACAAAAGAAAGGAAGACAAAGGTGTAAAGGTCCAAAGAAACAGATGAAAAAGAAAGACAGACGAAAAGAAGGACAATAGGAAAAGCAAGGAGGAAACAGGGGAAGAAACCAGTATTAGTTGTTTCGTTTCTAGTGGGAAGGGCAGACAGGTTCATTCCGTTGTCGCCAAACCTAGCGTTTGTCGTTCAGCCTTTGAGGTGGATTGATTGTGCGCTCAGCGATTCCGCACTTGCAGGCACAAATCCTGCTTTCTTGTACATTTATCATTTGTGCTTGCTTTGCAGTGTTGGTGGTGAGTCCAAATGGAGGACTTCAAGGACAAGATGTTCACCCTTTTGACGTTCTCTTCGCCACATGTTGGTTGCTTGATTCCGACTCGATCTCTTGAAAATGCCTGGAAGATTTGCCAAGACAGCTTCTATCTTCTGAAAGCTCTCCATGGTTTGCATTTCCCAGAGCTTGTGGGATGCAGGGAGCTTTGATGAGCTGTTGAGGTTACTTCCTGAAAAACATCAGCCTTTTCCACCTCGGCCTCAAGGCTCGCAAAGTGCAATTGCGGTCCTTCCATCAAGAATTTGGGAGCCCCTTCTACAAGGTTCTTAGATTGGAATCTACTCATGTCAAGAAACAGTTACTTTTGGGCACAGTGGAAAGCTTGCTTGGCCGAAATGGGTCTTAATGCCGCTATGTTGTGCAGTTTTGAAGCCGTGCAGGTGCTACAGTCTTGGCGAGGCTCACAATGCCTCACGCAGCTCTCAATGGCAGATGCTGATGATCCGAGGAAAACGATGATCTACAAGTGTCTTGACCAACGAGAGTGTTTGTCGTTGATTGAGACGACAACTAGCTCGTCCAAGACTCAAACAGACGTGCACCAGTAGAAGGGGCTCCCTTTTTGCTTCACCCTTGAACAATGTTTTTTTCACCCTCCCTTTTTTAACCCTCGAAACCCCTTTTTTCCCACCCTCCACCCTCAAGAACCCTTTTTCCACACCCTCTGGAACCCCTTTTTCCACCCTCTAAAGCCTTTTTTTCATCCTGCACCCTGTCATTTTCACCCTGTAGCATGTTTCTTTCACCCTTCACCTTGTTTTTTTTCACCCCTCACCCTTTCTTCTTCACCCTCGACCCTTTCTTTTCAACCCACCGCTCGTGAGGTACCCGGACCTGTAGAGAGACTCGCCGGAACGATGTCGCCTCCAGGAACTGACCTGGAAGTCTCTGGAACGTGAGTTGCGCCCTCCCCCATACCTTGGGCCTGTACTTACAGCACATCCATCCATCCATCCATCCAAACAAACAAACAAACAAACCATCCCACCAACCAAGCGACCAACAAACCAAGCAGGCCGAACCAACCAACGCACCAACCAAAGGAAGGAGCCCCAATGCTGTCGATACTTGGCTTGCATTGGTAGCCCACCAAGCAATCAACAAACCAAGCATCCATCAACGGAGTTCCAAACAACCGACCAACCAACCAAGCACCAAAACGGCCAAACCAACAAACCAACCAACCAAACAACAAACCAAGCAACCAACGAACCAAGAAACTGAACCGCGTAACCTCCAAGTTGCCGTCGATACTTGGTTTGCATGGCGGGGGAGGCGCTGCGCCCTCCCCCACACCCCCTCCCGCCTGTATTTACACAGCATCCATCCATCCATCCATCCATCCATCCATCAACGGAGTGCCAACCAAGCGACCAACCAACCAAGCACAAAAGCGGCCAAACCAACAAACCATGAAACCAAGCCAGCAACCACTAAACAGAGCAACCAAACCACATAACTATGTTTTCCCCAAACGCATTCGATACTACTTGGTTGCATTGTGGGGGAGGCGCGGCGCCCCGCACCCCCTCCTGCCTTATTTTCCATCCAACCCTCCATGCATCCACCAAAAGAGCATCCATCCATCCATCCATCCATCCATCCATCCATCCATCCATCCAT